TTGTTCAGATTAGCAAAGGTAGTAGAGATTTATTCTTATAAATACGTAATGAGTTTAAAGTGCTTCTCTTTTGTTAATTTTGTGTGTTGATGTTAGAACTCATGCTAGAAATGTTGCTTTTCATCCAGTGAATCAGGAGATTTCTGTCTTTAATTCTTTCACTCCCAAATCTTAGTATTTTCATTTTTTAAAAAGATTTAATTTTAGACTGGTGAGGGGAGAGTTAAAGGGAGAGGGAGAGAGAGTCTTAAGCAGACTCCATGCTGAGCACAGAGCCTCATTCGGGGCTTGATCTCACCACCCTGAGATTATAACCTGAGCTGAAACCAGGAGTTGGACTTTTTAAATGACTGTGCCACCCACGTACCCCCAATATGATCTTTGTTAGAGGTAAGCAACCCATGTCCAAGCTGTCTTTCATCATTGTCCTCTTACATGCTGTGCTCTAGCCGTATTAAATTATTAACACAGTTTCATCCTGCCTTGCTGGCCTTGTGCCTTCGTGCCTTCTTGCTTTACTGCCTGCCTCTGTTTTTCTTGTTCTCTGACATTTTTGAATACTGCTATATACCATGCATGGTAGTGGGGACTACGTAAGACATAGTCCTAGCACTCATTGCACTGAAACTGGATACTAACATTCCCAGTTATGAAAGTGAGAACGTGAAGCCTTACATTGCTTAGAATGCCAGTAGTGGGATTAGATTCTCTGTATCTTGGTTAACTTCAAGCATTCAGAGACTAATAGATAATCTGGAAGTGGCAGAGGCATTGGAAGACATTAGTTTGGTTCTCAAATTTTAATGATGTAGAAACCGAGTCTCTTGTAGAATTAATGGCCTGTTGAGGTCACAGCTAGAACCTAAGTTGGTATCTTGACCAGTGTTCATTCTGTACCATCTCCTTTCTCTTTACTGTAGTACTGCCTGCCCAGATCCCACATTGTCATATACTTTTATATCTGATTTGTGCTGTTAAAGACCTCTTTTCACAATGCATACACTGAACTATAGGCGTTAGCATTATTGGCTTTTTTTACTTGAAATTATAATTGGAACAATTAGAGATGCGTCAGTGGAAAGGCAATGAAAGAAGGCCATTAAGTGCTAATAAATGCCTCTCCTCATGGGAATGGAGATCTTTTCTTTTCAAGCATTTGAGCTTTTTTCACTGGTGCTTTTAAGTGGCTAGAAATAACACTTGCCACACGCTTGTGGAATATTCTAGATGCCAGGGGGTTCATTTCATTCTGTGTTTGAATTGAGCACACTGTGGTTGGAGTGTGTGTTGATTCTTTTGTTAGTTTAAGCTTTCATTCCATGTTTTGTATTAACCTTTCTCAGGGAAGGCAGGAGAACAATACTGAGAGCTCTTAGAGAATGAAGCCTTTCGGTAGCTGATGACTTTCTAGGAAGCAGATGAAAAAGTTAAAATTATAGGTGTTTATTTTGATACATTTTCCTTTTCACATCACTCAAACTTGCGGTACAGTATGAAAAACTAGATCTAGCTTACCCTAAAGTCACATGCTTATGGCTAGCAAAAGGTAATTACTACTTATTGCTGTGGAGACATATTACATTCTGGAACAAATTTGTGTAATTAATTATCAATAAATTTCAGGATAACTTATGACTATTTCCTCTAAAAATCGTGGTAACCGTGATGATGCTGGTGATGATGGCAGCTAAAATTTTTTGGCCAGTTACTGTGTGCTAAGTTTGTTCTTCAATTTCAGAATGCAAAATGATCTGAATTTCAGAATTCTATAATTTCAGAATGCAAAATGATCTGAAAATTAAATATGATTTTTGTGGGGTGCCTGGGTGGCTCAGTGGGTTAAGCCTCTGCCTTCGGCTCAGGTCATGATCTCGGGATCCTGGGATTGAGTCCCATATCACGCTCTCTGTTCAGCAGGGCGCCTGTTTCCTTCTCTCTCTCTCTGCCTACTTGTGATCTCTGTCTGCCAAATAAATAAATAAAATCTTTAAAAAAATATTATTTTTGTAACTCATTTTGCAAAAACTTATATTGACCAAAACTCACTTACTGTCAAACTTGACCTAAATGATGTGAGGCTATTCATAGTATGTTTTTACCTCGATTACTGTAAATATTCATTTGTTTTGCTACAGAAATAGTATGTTTGATTCCATAATCTACTTCAGATTCCATTACACAGTTTAAGTTTCAGGCAAATATTTTTTTTAAAGATTTATTTATTTATTTGAGAGAGAGTGAGAGCACACGTAAGAAGCAGAGGAAGAAGGAGACTCCCCGGTGAGGAGGAAGACTGATATGGGACTCGATCCCAGGACCCTGGGATCATGACCTGAGCCAAAGGCAGACACTAGACTGACTGAGCCACCCAGGCGCCCCAAGTTTCAGATATCATTTTACCTTCCTCAAACCTGAAGATCATTGGCGTTGCATATCCCAATGCCACTGGAAGATAAAGGATTGTATTATTCCTATTATTCTACCCCCAACATGCTGTAATTTATAGATGGGTAACTGAGCCAAAAAGTAGTAGATCCTGAATTCAAACCTAGGCATTTCAGTGCAAGAATTTGTGCTCTTAACCACCATGCTAACTGAAAAAGAAGTTTTTAAAAGCACTTCACAGCTATTAATATTATATGCTTATTTAATAAAATTCTAGTAAAGATGAAAAAATTCAGATTTGAGTAGTTACTCTATTAATATATCTGTGTTCTGTTTCCCATGTTAAATATTATCTTAAACTTCATAGCCATGATTTATTAGTAGTTCCTGCTACTCTTGATTTTTATTTATTTATTTATCCAAGACAGAGAGCGCATGCGTGCGTGCACATGAGTTGTGGGAGGGGTAGAGAGAGAGGGAGAAAGGGAATCTCAAGCAGACTCGACACTGAGTGCAGAGCCAGCTGTGGGCCTTGAGGCGGGGTTCAACTTGGGGCTCTATGTGGGGCTCAGTCTTAAGACCCTGAGATCATGACCTGAGCTGAAATCAAGAGTTGGCCACTTAACCGACTGAGCCACTCAAGCGCTGCACTTCCCACTCCCCTGGTCTTGATTGTTTTATTTTCAACCTAGTGGTCTTTCCTCCTTTGGACTTCTTAAATTTTCAAAAGCTTCTGTGCTTGTTTATAAAGCATGTTATTAGGTCTCAGGAAAAAGAGCAAACATTGCTGCTGAGGCAGGTGTGCTTTGAGATGCTATCTACTCTAAATGAAGAAGGGAGCTACCATCATTGTAGCACAACAGACAGTTTGGACTAGAAATAAAATTGTAACCTTAGTCACACACTAAGTTTACTGATGTTGGTGGACGTGTAATTTATGTATTACTCTTGACATATACAACTAGATAACATAGTCTAATTGCTGTAGTCAGAGAGGTATAGGTTGAGAAAGTAATTCTTACGTTTACTCATTAGTATGCCTTCTTTGGTTAGCTCAATCTATTAAGTAATAACCAAAATTTTTTGAACTCTGTGAGGTGTTCCCACTGGCTACTTTTAATACATTTTAGGAGTTGGAGCTAATAAACGTGTTTTTCCTAAAGTTTCACTGGGAATGTAGAGTCAAGAGTGACTTTTAAGATAAGAAATATCTAGGTGTTTATAATGTATGTGTTAAAAATATATATACATATATTGATATATCTATATACCTATTTATCATCTATTAGATATTGGGTACTTTTCTTTCTTTCTTTTTCTCTTGCTCTTTAAAATTTCCAGTCAATGGTACAGGATCACAGAAAAAAAAAATTAAATAGACAAAACAACAACAACAACAAATAAACATTTTCAGGTAAGAAAATAATAGACTACATACATTATACCTACATCTTTAATTATGAACTTTTGCATATTTTTTTTCTAATTAACCCTTAAAATTTGTATTTCCAGTAAATTCACAGGTTTTTTTTAAGATTTTATTTATTTATTTAACAGAGAGAGAGAGAGAGAGAGAGAGATAGATCACAAGTAGGCCGAGAGGCAGGCAGAGGGGGAGGGGGAAGCAGGCTCCCTGCTGAGCAGAGAGTCCGATGCAGGGCTCTATCCCAGGACCCTGAGATCATGACCTGAGCCGAAGGCAGAGGCTTAACCCACTGAGCCACCCAGGCGCCCCAGATTCACAGTTTTAATTCCTATACTGCTGACTTTATTTGCTTAACCAAGTCCTTATTGAGCACCTTCTTTGTGCCAGGTACTGTGCCAAATACTGGCCTTTGAGAAATGAGGTCCCTGTCCTAAGTGAGCTTGTCTAGGGGAGGAGACATGACTGAGGTTCACAGTACCTTGGAATAAAGAGGAAAAAATGTTTAAATGTACTGGCATTTCAAGAAATGCATTCCATAGGAGACTGTGCCAACATTCTGTCTTTAAAATGAAATCAGTAAAGAAAGGAGATGCCTTGGCGAGGGGCTTCCGTGGTAGAATACTCAACACGGAGGCATGAAATTAGTGTGAAGTCACTTGGGGACCAGATGTTCTGCGAGTAAAAGATTTGCCTGGAGGATAATGGATGAGCCTTCTAGAGTATTAGGGAGGCGTTAGCTCCAAGGATCCACTTAAATCCTTCTTTGATAATTAGAAAATCAGATTCCCATTCTTTTTAGATAAACTCTGTGGCTATGGCTCTCCGTTCTGTTTAGTGGAGAAACTGACCTATGCTTTTTTGGCTTCCAATTAAATACCTATTTTTTCTTCCAACATCTTAGGAAAAGTGGAAACAGGTGGGCATAATACTGACTGTGGAAGCTTACTTCTACTCTTATCTGCACTCTTTCCTTCTAGCCCCCTGCAAGAACTGTCAATAAACAGGACCAGGGACAGTGATTGGGTCATATTTCTCCAAGCCAGGTCTTCAGGGGACAGTTGAACTGCCGCCTACATCAGCCCTGGCCCTTGTCATTGGAGAAGTGTTCTCTTGTTTCTGTCTAGTTTCTTCTCATGGAGTGTGGTCTTCCACGCCTGGGCCTTTTCTACTCATCGCAGTGTTCAAGTACGAAGGTCTGAGATTGATGTGTGGGCTTCACGGAAAAGGAGCGCAGGAGGCCTTTTAGCCTTGTTGGTACTAGGCCTCAAGCCCTCCTCATAACTAGGCCGGATGAAGCTTCCAAAAGGTCCAGTCTCATGCTTCTAGGATTCAGAAGGGAATGTGTAAGGGTTTGAGGCAAAAGCTGTCTGACCTTTATTCCTCTACACATGTCTGTCTAGAAACCCTGTAGGCAAGAATGGCTGACAGGACGGAGGTTTGGCGTTCCGGCTTCTCTTACTCTTCTTTGATCCATAGCACATATTCTCAGTGGGAGTGAGATTGCTCCCAAGGGGGCAAAAAGTACTTCTTGGGGAACGAAAGTAAGCTTATTCTTCTCATGTATAAAGCATGGATGTGTATACAGTGTATCTGTGGTATTACATTTAATGGAGAAAAATGTATAACAAGGCCCTTGGGGAGGCAATAAAAAGAAAGAGGTTGAGAAACACTGTTCTAAAGTGTAGTGTGTGTGTGCCTCTCTCTTACTCTTTCTTGGGCGTTGCATGCCAGGATGGGTATAATAATGTATGGGTATAATAATGGGTATCATAATGTCATCACTCTGCTAGACTGTTTTTTTTTTTTTTCTTCTCTGCTATGTTTAGTCCGTAGCTTTTATCTTCTAGTTTGCCTTGTGGCTTAATACAGTTTCTGTAGCTCTGCTCTCATGTATAACTGACAGGGAGAAAAAAGAAGAAGGAAGGGCAAAAGGTATACATCAGCTAAGTCAGACCTTTTTAAAGAAACTATTTCTTTTTTGTTAAAGATCTCTTTATTTATTTTAGAGAGATAGAGTGAGGGGGTGCACATCAGTGGGGGAGGGGCAGAGGGAGAAAATCACCAGGCAGACTCCCCACGGAGTGTGGAGCTAGATGCGGGGCCCCATCCCACAGCCTATGGAATCATTTCCTGAGCCAAAGCCGAGAGTCAGACACTTAACTGACTGAGTGACCTGGGTACCCCTTAAAGTTGATGTTACTTAACAAGCTTTAATTACATTTTACTGACTAAAACTTAGTTATGTGGATACCCTGTTTGCAAACGAGGCTAGAAAATAGAGATTTATTTGTCTGTTTATTTACCTATTAAAATTGGGCCCATTGCCTTTCTCAACCAAATTGGGATTCTGTTAATAAGAGATAAGGGGAAATGGATATTTAGGCAACTCACAGTCTCTTTAGTTGTCCCTTTTATCATCCATTGGTGGGGCAGCGGCCCAGAGCAAGGCACAGTCTGTGCTTTGGAATACAGCAAGAGCTATATACCTTTTCTTTATGTTGGGACTCATTAACCTGTTGCTTTAAAACTTTTGAACAAATTGGCTTTCTGAAAAAACAAATAAAATGGATTAAATATGAAGGCATTAAGTTCTTGAGAGTTTCCTGGTGGGGAGAACACACTGTATTTGCAAACCAGAGCTGGCTTCTTCATTCAGTTTACAGATCTCGGACTCAGAAATTTTGCATTTTGAATGTTGCGGAGAAACCCTTATTTATTGATTGATTAGATTTAATGAAAACATTTTCCTTAGAAATTTTGAGCTTTGGGAATGAAAGGTTAATTTGACTGGAAATTTCTTAGATGTTAGTAAAAAAATAAAAACATTGTGTTTCTTGCAAATGGATTCAAAACTATGTTTTTCAAACAAAATGATGGTGGTATTTATCGTATACCTGAAATTACAGAGTAACTGATAGCAGAAATATGTGATCTTTTACATATCTGTAAATGCCTATATTCTTACTGTGCCAAGAATTTAGGGAATAAAAGAAAACTTCATTGGAAAATTTCCAATTAAATCTGTGGATTTTGGCATAATTATTTCTTTCAACAGTTGGAGTGGCATTGTAATGGGTGGCAAGGCTCCGGGATTAGGCACGGAAGCACAAAGTCATTTTCACAGCACCATTTTGTCTAGAATGTGGAGTATATGACCTCAGTGCTTCTTGGGGCAGGAGGTGGGTAGTATTTGTCAAGGATCTGTCTGTTTCTGTTTCTGTTTCTGTTTCTTTCTCTTTCTCTGTCTCACCTTTCCTTCTTTACCTCTCTTCCTTTCTCTCTCTCTCTCTATCTTTAGTTGGGTTATCATTTTAAAGGACTATGAGATAGTAATCCTACAAGGATTATTTTGGAGCACATGAAGTTGTACTTTGAAGATAATTTTTTAGAAGGGGACTTTCCGTTTTTAAGGAATAATTTAAAAAATATTTTGGCTCTGGGAGTTTTGAAAAAATAGTTTCCTTCAAATTCTATTCTGTGTCTTTAGATAGTCAATAATATCAGGCCGACCTGATATTTTGTATTTTTTTACTTTGGTATATACATTTGGATCTTAAACATTCATAATAAAATGTAAACTTAAATGACCTCAACAAATTATTGGTAAATTGAAAGTCATCTTAGCTGTTTTTTCAGTACATATAAAATCCCACTTAGCTATCTGCCAGTTGGGGAGTTAAATAGGACAATGTCTTCCCTCCGTAATATGAATATATGGGGTTATTGGAAATCTTCCTGACAGTGTAGGTAGAAAGTATTAGAAATATTAATACTTGGGCACTAAAGAAGGCACTAGGGGGAACACAGGGCTGAGGGAGCTGACATGTGATTAGACCAGTGTAACAAGTGTGTGTTGAGAGCTGAGATAGGGGCTTGCATGGGGGATTTCAAGGAGGGCTTCTCAGAGAAGATGATGTAGAGTTGAGTGTTGAAGATCAAGTAGAAGTTGGCTAGAGGAAGAAGTGGGGGGAGGGCATCCCAAGAGGGTAACATGGAATGTGCCAAGACATTGAGCCTAAGAGTGCACGTGCACGCAGAACCTTCCACAGAGGACAGGACTTTTTATCTGCTTTGTTTATGGTTTGGATTTCATGCTAAAGACGTGCTAAAGTCATTGAATGATTAGAGTCTGGAAATGATTTAGTGTCTGGAAGTGATGTGATGGGACTTACATCATTGTTGAGGTTGGATTAAAGTATGCTCAATTTGGATCCAGGGAAATTAATTGGGAGATTATTATAGTGGTCTATATGAGTGTTGGTACCTGCAGTGGTGATTGAAATAGAGAAGAGAACTTTTTGCATTTAAGAGATACTAAGAAGGTGAAATCAGCAGGACCTGGTGACCAATTGTGAGAATGAAGACAGAGGAAAATGGAGTGTGGATGATTCCCATGTACTTGGTTTGGCTGATACGTATGGGTGCTGATGATGTGTATTATGCATGGGCATGAAGAGGAAAAACGTGGGTAGATGATCATGAGTTCAACTGTAGAGTTTCAGTATGAGACTTTTAAGTGGAGATGACTAAGAAACTAGTGTGACTTTGGGAATACCTCTGACTTATAATGTTTGGCTTACTTCTTTGGGGACTTCTCAGCCTTTCAGTTAGTTCTGTTTCTTTCAGATCATTAAATATTGGTATTTTCTGGGGTCCTTATTTATCACTCTTCTCCACTCCATTCCTACTTGTCTGTTCTTTTGGATTTAGCTACCAGGTCCATGAATGTCTGTCAAATTTTTATCCCCAGACAGGAGTTCTACCTTGAGTTCCAGTTGCTCTTCTAGCTGTACACTTGTTTCTGGGTCAGATGTTCTCCAGGTAGCTATCAGTATATCCAGTGTGTTCCCTTACCTTCTTCCCCATTTCCTTTACACTGTAGCATAGTCTGATGGTCACATTAGCACAGGAACTAGATTTAGGCTCTCTAGGTTTGAGTCCTCGATCTGTCAGTAGCTTTGTGACTCTGAGAAAATTATGTGACCTTTCTGTGTCTCAGCTTCCTCGTCCATGAAGTGAGCATAACAGCAGCACCTCCCCGAGGATCAAATCAGAGTGGTGCCTGCACACGACAAACACGGTGTGAATAGCGCTGTAACGGGGTCTTCCTGCATTGCCTGCTTCTGGTTGGTGGTACCACTGTTCAACCAGCTGACCACGCAGAGCTGCGAGGTTTATCCTGACTCCTCCATATCACTCCATGCCACGTCAGAATGATAATTTTGTCCTGTCAGTCGTCTACTCTCTGATATCTTCTCTCCATCTCTGCCATTACTCTTCTGAACTTAACCTTTATTATCTTCTTCTTCAGTGACCCAGACTGGCCAGTGACTAGTCTCCCTGTCTTTTGTCTATCTTTTTTTCAACATTATCTATACAGTCCCTCAACGGTTTTTCTGAAATGCAAATCGGATCACTTAAAACTCTTTGGTGCCTTTCTGTTCTTATAGGAAGGAAAAAAAAACCACAAGTGAAGGCCTCTGAGGTCTGGTCCTGCTTTTTTCTTCAGACTCGTTTCCATCCCATTCTGACCTTTCTTTAACATTTACAGTGTGTCCGTATTCTGTATTACTTTGGTCTTCCAGGTCTTTGTACACCCTGATCCCTTTTGGAGGGCCTTCTACCTCTTTGTCTCTCTGAAATAGTTTCTGGCTGTTTCCCCAAGCAGAATAGGTCTGATCTACATCAGTGTTTCACCTTGTGTGGAGCTTAACCATATGACAGTCATGCTTGTCGTTTGCATGCCAATCTCTTCTAAAACTGAGCTTATCTTTGAATGAATCATTTATCTCAATTAACTTCTTGGAGAGTGTAAGTTATGCCTCTTGTCTTTGGTCAAGGGCAGATGTTAAACATTTGTTTACTGAACAGATCATCTGGTTAATGATCATTTACATCTGTCTTAAAGAAGAAACATATCTATATTTACTTTATGTGTTGCTAAGGGAAACATTTCTTTTAACTTGGTTGATACAGCAAATATGCTCTCTCTTTTTTTTTTTTTTTCTTTTTAGGTTTCCAAAGGTCAGTCATTTCCTAGTGGACCGATAATAATATTTCTTGTTACCGCAGTTTCTAGACGAGCCAGGAAGAAATATTATCAAGATGGTTCTTATACCATAGTGTGGGAATTGTTCTTTATTTTCTGTGTAAGAGTGGGAAAACCATGAAAGAGCATTGACTTATTGCCTGAAGACCAGCTGTTAAGACTGTTCAGATTAATGTTTTACTGAGGTGGGTCCAGAGAGAAGAAAAACATTTGAGTTGTCGCTGCTCTGTGGCATTGAGTGGGAAGTACTTCTCTGGCCTTACAGTCTGTACAGTCCAACCATAAACACATAAATAAGACACTCAGGCAGTAGAATGCAGTTAATTAGATGATGCTGAGTCTTCAGGTCACTCTTCTTGTTTTTTACCTTGAAGGTTCATGCAAATGAGAAAAAATGGAGAAAAATGGCATGCAGATTTTGTATTTTTATATACATGACCATAAACAGAAATGTGTGGTTTATCCACAGTAATACTAAAGGCACAGTCATTTTTTTCCTGCATTAATTTAGCAAGGGATTTTCCCATAACGTGTACCTATGGGAGAACCAACCACCTATTGCATAGAAAAGAATAAAATTCAAATGGATGGTTGCATACAATGGCTAATGAATTATTCATGCTTATTTGTATCAGGGCCTTGGCTCCCTGTTGGAGGCACAGATAAGGAACTGAGCTTTCCAAACCAGTGTGGCTGGTCAACACCAAGGGGTTCAGGTGGGGTCTGTGCCTCCTCATCTTTAAATTCCATTCACGAGGGACACCTGGGTGGCTCAGTCAGTAAGCATCTGCCTTTGGCTTGAATCACGATCCCAGGGTCTTCGGATTGAACCCCACATCGGCTCCCTGCTCAACGGGAAGTCTGCTTCTCACTCTCCCACTCCCCCTGCTTGTGTTCCCTCTCTAGCTGTGTCCCTCTCTGCCAAATAAATAAAATCTTTAAAAAAAAATTCTGTTCATGAATGTTAAAATATTGTGTGTAGAGGCTTTTTGTTTTCATTTTTTTGAAATAAGACAATACTGCAGCAGTATAGAAAACGTGCTGTGGTTATGTTATAGCAATAGTAATAGTACTACTTTTTTCCGTGGTGGTTGGGTTTTTAAAAAGTTGCCATATATTGCATTTCATTTGATCCATAAGTTTGTCTCAGTTTAGTAGTAAAAGAAACCAAGATTCAGAGATAATTTTTTCCATTCAGTGGTGGGGCTGAGGCTTAAAGCAAAGCTCTCTGGGTTTCATCTGAGGGCTCACCCCTTAGCTTGCACAACGGCAGTGTGCCAGGCATACGGGCCTAAGGTTTTCATGCTGCTGGACCATCAGAATGACTTGAATCTTCAGGATACCAGGTTAGTCTCTGAGTTTTCAGAAGAGAGGAACTTCTCTCTAGTGCCTTGTTGCGCATAGGTACTCCTATGAAGTCAGGAGAGACTTCCAAACAGCAGGATTTGGTTACCAAATCTTTTGACCTCTGGTGAGAATATATGTGTTGGAAATAGGACTGGTGAGTGCCGCAAAGGGGGCCAGGAAGGGCGAGTTAGTAAGAAGGGGGTTGGGTACCTGAGTCCATTTATTACTTTCAATGCAAAGGTGTTTGCTTAATAAAAAAATAGAGAAAGATGTTAGATGTATCTGTGGGCTTACTTTTCAGCTGAACCCATGATAATTATCTGTTATTTAAAATGTTTGATACATTATGTTTTGCTTTAATAATGTTCAGAGGGATGATTATGAAATCTACATTATAAATATATAGTCAAAAACATGAGTTGAAACAGATCCCAGCATGAAGGTATTAAGGAATGAATCTTCCTTTCTTCCTTCCTCCTTTACCCCCTTCTTTACCTTTTTTTTTTTTATTTTTTAAGAAAGTATTTTATCGATTTCATTAAATGGCATTATTCAGGCATTTAAAATATGCATATTTTTCTTTGGCATCTATCTATACATCCTAAAATCTCATTCAGAGTTCTCATAGCTCCAACAGATTCCCTCCCACTGTTTGCTCTGGAGTTTGGTTTTGTTTTCCCTTTATCCATATTGATACTCAAGTTAACTTCTTTTTGGTTTTAGACATAGACAATCTCCTTGTTCTAAGATTTAAATCATTATTGAAACCATTAAAACTAGCATGTACTCTAATATAGTTCCTGGAGAATATTAAGAATATTTAATTATGTGTATTTAGATGTTTTCAGAGGAGAGTTATGTGTCTGTTTTCTGAACTCCAATGTAGTATATCTGTCCCCTCCTTTAATGGTCTTTGATGTGCGTGTCTTCATTTTCCTACTAGATTTCAAACTTCCAGTGTCTAATTAGTGCTGGGTGATGCCCACAGCATCTCCCTAACACTTCTTAATTTCTCAGTGAATTTTTTTGATGAGTGAATAACATTATTTCAGATGGCATTTTGGGGAGCAATGCAAGTCCATAATTTCTCTATTATTTATTTTACTTGCATAGTGACATTCCAACTGAAACTCAGCCCTTGGAATCAAGGAGTAATGCTTTAGTTAAGAGGCTGTTCAGTGTTATTTCCTCTGTTAGAGGAAGTTAGCACTTGCAAAATAAATTGTTTGTAGTAGAGGAAATTCTGTTTAATTTCATCTCTGCAACTCTCTATTCTAAAGGACCAGTAGAGCTAAAGGCTTGGGTTCTGTGGCATTCTCACTGGACTTTACTGTTTGTATAAGCTGTTTTCATCGAAATCCATTGTGTTGAAGCTCCGTCTACCAAATTTTCCACAGAACTCATAATATGACCCATGCCATTATCACCCACTGAATGGTTGAGTGACGTACCCCGATGTGAGGTCAGTGGCTCTCAGCCCACGGTGAGCGTCAGAAGCCCTGGAGCTTGTTCAGAGTAGGGATGCTGCACACCTCCCTCTGGGTGTTCTGAATCTGTAGGGCTAGGACGAATCCTGGACATCTGTGGTTATAACACTTTCTGGTGGTCCTGGAACCATTTTTGAGAAACACTGCCATTGAGTCAAATTTATTTGTGATTTTTAAAATGATGAATCCTCCAAATTTGTAAGGCATTCTAAATGGATTTAAAAGCTGTGTTATAGGTTTGTTAATGAATTTGACATTGCACAATCAGTATGATTTATGTGGCATTGAAGAGTTAATTATAAAATACTTTCTTAGCTGGTCTAGTGTATATTAACATGCATTTAAAACACAATCTTGGGATGCCTGGGTGGCTCAGTGGGTTAAAGCCTCTGCCTTCGGCTCAGGTCATGATCCTAGGGTCCTGGGATCGAGCCCCGCATCGGGCTCTCTGCTCAGCAGAGAGCCTGCTTCCCCCTCTCTCTCTGCCTGTCTCTCTGCCTACTTGTGATCTCTGTCTGTCAAATAAATAAATAAAATAAAATAAAAATAAAATACAATCTCTATTTGTTTAAAAAACTCCCCTTTTATTTTTTTCAAGAGAATATTAAATCGTTTATTGATTACACATGGTAATGGATGATACACAAGCTTTAATCCCATCTATAACTTTATCTGATACCATAATTCAATTTAGGTATATTGCATAGGATGTGCCAACAATCATATTAATAACCAAATAAACTCCAGGACTTTGCTTGGGTGACCTTTTAATGGTGAACTCCAGGTCACAACACATTAACTGTCAGTTCAACTACACCAAGGTTTGTGGAGACAATGGCTTCTATGCCCAAGCAAGTTGCAAATAGATTTCGAATGGAACCTGGTATCACCCTGAAGGAATTCTAACTTCACCCTGTTGGGGTATTATACCAAGATGGCTTCAGAGTAGACTAACCTTACACAGCACATTTAAAAAAATACACATTTATTCCGCATCATTTAGCAATCGACAGCATGGGTGCAAAAAAAACCACCAAAAACCATCTGCATTAAAAACCTTTGTTGGAATGCTTTACACTTTCCACAGAACAGAAACTAAAATAACCTGTTACACAATTAGTCACAAATACAGTCCTCGGGTTTTTTTGCCCATGCATATGAGTATTGTCTAAAGCATGTCTTCTTTGTAGCAGCTAGGCCCTGCCACCACTGTGCTTGGCTGAGTTCACAAATCTGTTGTAACCTGTAGCTTCCCTGTCACTTCTCTGGCTCTCCTCTCCTGCTAAGCTTTGTTCCTGGCAGTAATTAAAACCTTCTGCCACTGCCATAGCTCCTGCTGCTGCTGGAACAACCATAGCCACCTTGGTTTCGTGGTTTGGCAAAGTATCGGCCTCCACCACCATAAGGGCCAGAGCTTCTGCCTCTAAGATTTCCTCCTTTCATGGGTCCAGAAATTAAGGATTAATTGTTGTAATTGCCAAAATCATTATAACTTCCACCATCTCCAAGTTGCTTCCATCATTACCAAATCTGTTCTAGCTGTCCCCACTGCCACCATATCCACCGTCACCTTGACTGCCACCAAAGCCACCTCGACCGCTGAAGTTTCCTCCACAATCAAAGTTGTCATTCCCACCAAAACTACCTCCACCACCGCCACCAAAGCTTCCAGAACCACTTCGACCTCTGGCTGGATGAAGCAGTAGCCATCTCTTGCTTAGAGAGCGCTTTCCTTACTTCACAGCTGTGGCCATTCACAGGATGGGATTTTTGAATGACATGAGTCATGGTCATCCAGTGTTACAAAAGCAAAACCCCTCTTTTGCCACTGCCTCGGTCAGTCATGATCTCAGTCACTTCCATGTTCCCATGCTGTTCGAAATAATCTCTTAAATGATGTTCGTCAGTGACTTCTTTAATGCCACCCACAAAAATCTTTCTCACAGTTAAGTGGGCACCAGGTCTTTTGAGTATCTTCTCTTGACACAGCCCTCTTCGCTTCCACAACTCTTCCATCCACCTTGTGTGGCCTCGAGTTCATGGCTGCCTCCACCTCCTCCACTGGGACATATGTCATAAGCCCAGAGCCTCTGGAGCACTTGGTGTTTGGATCTCTCATAGCCACCCAGTCCGTAAGTGTTCCCCAGTGCTCAGAATGGCTCCTCAGACTCTCTTCAGTTGTTTGAAAGCTCAGGTGCCCAATGAAGAGCTTCCGCCGCTGTTCGGGCTCTTTGGGAGACTCTGACTTGGACATGACGGTGGTGGGAGGGGAGACTTTACCGATGCTTACTCGGTGGCGACCACTGGCAGAAAGGATTAAAAAAACTCCCCTTTTAAATAAACTCCCACTTATCAGGAACGAGAACACACAAAAATCAAACTTCAGTGTTTTCTCTGCTGTTAATGTCTACATATACATATTTATCTCTACTTATCCTGTATTTTATTGTCACTTTTTATTGGAAAAAAATTTTAGGATATTTAGAAGGCACACTCTAATATGCCTTTAATACCTATAGTAATGGTCCATGTTGACCTTGAAGCTGGATAGAGTATTGAATTTTTTAATTATAAAAAGAATGTAAGGATTAATTTCTGCATCAAATTTTTTTATAAATGCTGATTCTCTGAAAGTAAAGATAAAGTGAAAATACAAAGTAATTTAATAGAAACTTTCATTAATTTCAGCTAAATGAATGAGTGACATATTCTAGTGAGGTCATTGTGATAATACATATGGATTAATATTCAATATAAGGCCTTCCCCCTACCCCCCTTTTTTTACTTTGCAAATGCTTCTTTTAGAGGATGGGTCTAACATTCTTCAGACATATAATACAATCAAAGGTTGGGAATTAAGAGAATTACAGTGAAACTTAACTTACAGATTTGTACGTAATCAGAATTACATAAAATGCCTTATTAATCTAGTCTTTCTTTCTTTCTTTCTTTTTTTTTTTTAGGGACTTTCTGCCTCGAGGGTCGGGCATCGTAACCAGACGGCCTCTTGTGCTGCAGCTTGTTACTTCCAAAGCAGGTAATAAATAAGGATGTTTCCACACGAGTAATGCACATTCCCGTGGTACCTGTTGCCTTCACTGCTGGATGCTGGGTTGTAGCAACAGAAACTTTTTTGTGATCCCTCTGCTCTGGGTGGCAGCCTGTCGTTCTCTCCAAATGCTCTCTTCCTCATTGTTCTTTTAATTCCTTCAGTTACAGTAAAGGGAAAATCTTATTTGCATATAGATTTTTAAAATCTATTTGCATATAGATTTTTAAAAACCTACTTTTTTATGCTAAGAAAATAATATTTTTCTCATTATAATCCATCTGTGTAATTTTACAGTACAGTTTGGCTCCTACTATTTTCTGGTTTACTTCCTTCAGGCATGTGTGTGTGTGTGTTTGGGAATTTATTTCAGTATCGATTCAACTGCAGCTAACCCTGCTGTGCACACATGGTGTGTGCGTACCTGCGTCTGCGTCTCATGTGCTGCGCTTGCTCTATCCTCAACACCGTGATGAGCTGGTCGGCAAATAAGCTCTGTTTTCATTCTTATTTTTTAGCAGTTGGTGATGTCCGATTTTTTGTGTGCTTTTTTGGGTGTTTATAGTGTTTTTTATGAATTGGCTATTTTTATCTTTCCCTATTTCTTTTTATGGATTTTACTATTTTTCTTATCAATTTCTTTGAAAGCATTTGTAAAACCACACCTCATAAATTGCAAAAACCAAAGTCATGAAATTTTACCCCTTTGTTTTCTTCTAAGTATTTTATAGTTTTGCTCTAGAGGTCTAAAAGATATAATATAGGTCTAAAAGACCTCTATTTAGGTCTTTGGTCCATTTTGAGTTAATTTTCCTATATGGTGTGAGGAAAGGGTCCAACTTCATTTTTTGCATGTGAATATCCAGTTTGTTCCAGCATCATTTATATATTTTTGGTACGCTTGCTGAAAATCAGTTGGCCATAAATACGTGTGTTTATTTGGACTTTCTCCAAGTTTTGAAATTGAGAAGTGAGAGTCCTGTTTTGTATTTTTCAAGATTACTTGGCTATTCTGAGTTTCTTGAAATTCTGTATGAATCTTAGAATCAGCTTATTTTATCCCAGCAATGCAAGGTTGGTTTAACACCTAAGAATGAATTAATGTAATGTGTTTTATTAGTATAATTAAAAACAAGAAATCACAGGATTATCTCAACAGACTCAGGAAAAGCATCTGAAAAAAATACTACATTCCATCATTTTAAAAAGGATTTATTTATTTATTTGAAAAAGAGAGAGAGAGAGAGAGAGTGAAAGCACACATAAGCAGGGGGAGAGGCAGAGGGAGAGGGAGAAGCAGACTCCCTGCTGAGCTGGGAGCCTGATGTGGGGCTCCATCCTAGGACCAGGAGTGGATCATGACCTGAGCTGAAGGCAGATGCTTAACCATCTGAACCACCCAGACAACATTCCGTCCTTACAAAAACACTCAACAAAGTAGGAATGGAAGGGAACTTCCTTAACCTGATAAAGGGCATGGACTAAAACCCACAGCTAACATCGTGCTTAATGGTGAAAGACTGCATACTTTCCTTTTAAGATCAGGAACAAGACAAAGATGTATACTTTTGCCTCTTCAGTCTACTATTGTGCTGGAGGTTCTACGTCAGGGAGCTGGGCAAGGGAAAGAAATAAAAGGCATCCATACCAGAAAGGAAAGGGTTAAATAATCTCTATTTGCAGATGATATGATAAAATACATAGAAATTCCCAAGGAATCCACCAAAAAACTGTTACAACTAATAAATGAGTTCAACAAGGTTGCAGGATACAAGATCAAACTACAGAAATCCATTGTATTTCTATAAACTTGCTATTAACAACCAAAAAATGAAATTAAGAAAATAATTTCATTTACATAGCATCAAAAATAACATACTACTTGGGACTAAATTTAACAAAAGAAGTGTGAAACTTGTACTCTGAAAACCATGAAACATTGTTGGAAGAAATTAAATTATATCTAAAGAATTGGACAAACATCCTATGATTTATTTTCTCTTTAAAATTTTGATGTATTGAAGTTTTACCCTTCATGGTTGTAAAATCTGTACATGTATTTTTTTTTTTTTACAAAGATTTATTTATTACGGCACAGGAGTGGTTCAGGCCTGGAGTCAGGGAATAGGGGAAGGGGGCAGAGCAGCTGGAGGACAAGGAGAACCTGGCTTCCCCACTCTGCACCCCCCTGTCCCCCCCAGGATGTATACTAGGCACATTCCTGACATCAAAGCACAAACAAAATGCAACAAAGCAGCCTCTGCTAGTCCATCTTCCAGGCACCCAGGTTGGGGAGCAGGGGTGATAAGGGGAAGATTTCCAAAATGTTGAGGTTGAGGAGAAGGATGCTTGAATCCTGGGCCCTGGTAGAAGCCAGAGAGGGGTGATAACTTGAAATCCTGCATAGGAGAGGGGATGGAGAAGGATCTAAGGGCAACTACAGGTTATTAGTACCCTCTTCCTCCAGATCTTAGGGTCCTGCCCTGTGGGTTTCCTGTGCCCAGGAGAAGGGTCTGGGGAGTAGAATTGTCCCCTCTTACTGGATTATCCAGTGCAAACTCTCTCACATCCCACCTCCCTCTGGGTAAATGGGGGAATGACGGGCAGGGCAGGCATCAGGCAGCAAGTGCCCAGGTACTCTAGGCATCAGCCAAAGGTGAGCAAACAAGAAACACAGAGCAGCCCTAAGTCTTCTAGAAGTCAGAAGCCACAGCCCTAGCGAGTGAGGGGGAAGGGCATTGAAGAGGGTGGGGACAGACTTCCTTCTGAGTGACGCAAGGCCAGGTGCCTCTGTCCCAGGCTTAGGTGGGTGGGGCGCTGTGGTTCCTCCCCAGGCTCGTTTGGTGCCAAGTCCTCCACTTGTTCCCAGAGGAGGTGGGCGCTTCCGGGTCGTTCCAGACTCTGGCTACAAGCTGTCTTCCGCCCAGCAGACCCCTACTGTTCTGTAGGACTTCAGCCTGGCTGCCCTCCTCCTCCTTTTCCTCTCCCAGTCTTGTTACTTCTAAGCCCCTGACTATTTTTTTCATTAATTAGTGAAAATTATATGTCACGCACCACCTCTCTTTTCATGCAAAGTAGACTAGAAATTCTTCCCTCAGGGAAAACTTACTGTTTTCATAATCAGGAACCCCAAAAAGGAGTTTTTATATTGCAGCGCCCTAGCTGATGCCAGCTGAGAACTATGCTTATTTTTTTTCCACTCTAAGTGAACTATTCATAGGGCAATACCATGTGTGACTATAGACTTGGGTTGATGGAGGGTCAGCAAATGGCTGAATGAAGCAAGCTGGGGTATATGTCACCGCTCATGTAATTTGCTTGTGTTTTGGATCCCAGTTGGGATCAGTATTGTAAATAACAACTTTCTCTTGATAGATGCATTCATTTCTCCAGTGCGTGTTGAGTTGATTGCTGTGTCTCAGGCAAATAAACACGGCAACATGGAGCTTACATTCTAGTTGGGGAGAAACCAACAACCACTAAAAATCAAAACAAAACACCAAGATAAATCCCCCCCAAACCACAGAATGTTAGATGATGAAGACAGCAGTTGATCCATGCTGCTATTTGCGTAGGCAGAGGGAGGTTTGAAGATTCCAGGACGGGAGCTACTTGTGTGTTTGAAGTTTAACAAGGATGCCCGTAGGGCTGGAAGGGAGAGAGGAGGGACAGTAGAAGACGAGGTAAAGTGAGACGGTGTTGCTCAAACAGTCGCTCGAGTCGGGTCTTGTGAGCCAGGAGCCTTGAAACAGAGGATGATAGTAGGATGAAGGCCTTAAAGCAGGTGCCACTGCACGCGAGAGAAGCAAACAGTGACACGTTCAGGGATTGGATAGCTGGTCCGGATAATGCCGTTACTCAGGAGGAGGATTCAGGGATCCCTTTTCTCTTGCAACCACGTGGAAAGAGGAAAATGTAAGTCTGTGCTTTTAGTGGGAGAGAGTCGTGGGATTCCTCACTTGATGACTTTATTTTCTCCAGGAAGGAGACAAGGTAGTTGCTAATAACGATCATTTATCTTCTAATTTCCATTTGTGTGTCAGTCATTCCTCTTTCATGTCTTCTTACACTGGTCAGTGTAAGACTTCCAGAATTGTGTTTTTGAAACTCGTTCTGGTAGAAATGCCTCCTGTGTTAAATTATGCATACATTATTTACTATTTGTTTTTCCTGGTAAAGAACGATTTTATTCCTAATTTTTAAAATATTTTAAAACAGGGTGCCTGGGTGGCTCAGTCAGTTAAGTACCTGCCTTCGGCTCAGTCATGATCCCAGGGTCCTGGGATCGAGTTCCGAGTTGAACTCCCTGCTCTGTGGGGAGCCTGCTTTTCCCTCTTCTGCTCCCCTTACTTGTCCGCTCTTTCTTTCTGTCAAATAAATAAAATAAAATAGTCTTAAAAAATTAAAATTAAAAAAATTAAAATAATCTTAAAAAATTAAAATTAAAAAAAATTAAAACCTAATAAGTAGAGGGGTGCCTGGTTGGCTAAGTTGGTTAAGTGTTTGCTTTCAGCTAAGGTCATGATCTCAGGGTCCTGGGATTGAGCCCCGTGTTGGACCCCCTGCTCAGCAGGGAGTCTGCTTCTCCCCTCCTTCCTGCTCATGTTCTCTCTTGCTATCTCTGTCTCCCTCAAATAAATAACAAATTATTTTAAAAAACCCTAATAAATAAATATATAATTTTAATGAGTGGCATTTTGACATTTATTGAGATGATCATTTAAAAAACTTTTTGATAGGGTTACCTTTACATTTATAGATTTCTCATTTAAGCATCCTTGCATCCCTAAGATATACTTGATTTTAGTAACTTATTCTTTTACTGTACTCTTAAAGTAATTCCACTGATTTATCTAGGTCATATAGATACATATATATCTAATGTTATATTATATTACATTCTTCATATGTACATCATTTTCAAGTTATTGAATGAAATCTGTTCTGGTCAGCATAAAATAAATTGAGTAGTTCTCTGTCTCTTTTGA